CGGAGAGGGCGTTCAGGAGCGATCGTGTCCAGAACTGGCCCAGGTCATGCTCTTTTCTAGTTCCTTCCTGGCTCCCCTTCTGAGCCTCGGTCTTCTTCCGATTTCTGGCCTGCAGCTGCTTCCCTGTGGATGGAAGGTCGGCAAGATCTGAGACCCTTGGAGATGCTTTGTTGACCCCATGAAATTTCCAACAGGCGAGATGATAACCTGTACATCCTGCCATGCACCATGGGCATGGCTGTGAGGAGGGCCACACAGCCAGGCTGGTGACGGGATGATGGGATTCGTCATCCAACAGGGCCGCTTTCCCCATCGCTGCCTCTGACAGGCTGTCGTTCAAAATTCATTGCAAAGCTTTTGGTTGAAAGCCGATCCTTTCCATGGGCAAAGGAAGGCTTAGCAAACATTGGTACTGACGATTTTAAGGATGCTGCCCAGGTCAACAGGATTCCCCCCCCCAACTCTCCTTTGGGCGCATCGTCCCATTTTCTTCCATCTGCTACTGACCTCTGGCGGTCACGCCAGGAAATTCCACACCCGCTTCCCTTCCGAGCTAGTCTTCAATTCCTGATCGAATGCTCTCTCCTTTGTGACTCGCTTTGTGATGGACGGCTCTTTCACCACCAATTTCAAAGCAGACTGTATGGGATATTTGAGGAGTGGTTTGTACGCATTCCTCTCCCCCAGTATCTCCTCCGTGCCTGAGCAAGGATTAAAACCCAAGTCTCCTGAGAGGCCACTACTCTACCCACTACACCACATGGGGAGTCACACAGTAAATAGAGAACGCTGCCCGCTTTGGACGGCCACATGTTGCATGCAGGTTGTGGGGTTTGCTCGTTGTGCATCTCCCGGAGTTCTGTGAATTTGGCAGGTATATAAATCAATTAAATAACAACTATTTGAAATAGTGACCAGAATCCTATCGGTCATCTCCACTGCCTTTACTGTCAACCATAGCAGCAAATGTCTGGATAGCTCCCTGGTGTAGGCATCTGACTGCAGAACCAGAGGTTGGGAGTTCGATTCCCCCACTGGGCTTTCCTTGGTGGGGGCTGGACTGGATGACCCCACAGGGTCCCTTCCAGCTCTGCAGGTCTAAGATGAGGATGACGGTTCCTAGTTCATGGTGCCTGTTTTTCCTCTTGGCACCGGAGTTGTGTGTGTTTTGGTGTATAGAAAGCAACACTGGCAACATAGCAAATCCCAACCATTGACATTCACACCTGTGCATCATCTTTCCCAGGGAGTCAAGGATGAACATAGGATGAACTTTGGTGCTGATGGAACCGCCTCTTAAGTCAGGAGAGGAACAAGGTGGCTGCTTTCATGATTAGCAGACCAGTGAGAAATGGGTCTTCCCTTTAGGAATTGGGTATTCAGATTTTTAGACCAGTACCAGTTCCATAATTTCCTGTTCTGGAGTTCTACCTATGGACACCTAAATGTGACTCATGTGTAGAGAAAGACCTCAACTAGAAGGCTTTGAGAGTTAGCTCGGCCTAGTTCTGCCGAAGCTTTACCTCAACTAGAAGGCTTTGAGAGTTAGCTAGGCCTAGTTCTGCCTAAGCTTTCTGTTCCTGCCCCAGTGCAACTGGGAGCTTCCTTTCTGGACAGGAAGCTAGACCTGTAGCTACCTTCCAATTGAGGCCCTTCTCCCAGGCGAGCCACATTTAGGTGTCTTTAAGGTGTGTGTCCCTCTCAGATAGAAGGATGAATGACAGAATTTGCAGTGCAAGCGCAATTTATTAAAATCCCACATTTAGGTGTCTTTAAGGTGTGTGTCTCTCAGATAGAATGATGAATGACAGAATTTGCAGTGCAAGCAATTTATTAAAATCCTATTTCTCTCTCTCTCTCTCTCTCTCTCTCTCTCACACACAGACACACTCATTCACTGGTCCTTTATTTCCTTTTCTTCGGTCTCCTCAGGGGCTTGAACCAAATCCATGGAATCTGGAATAAAGAAAGAGTATGGGGAGGGTTGCTGGACTGCCTTGTTTAATCATCACAAAACCCAACAGCTTCAGCAGGATAGCTCCGAGGATGATGGGAAATGCCGTTCAACACTTTTGTGGTGGGTGCTGCCATCCTGACAAAGGCTGGCTCTCAGGACCAGATGTGGACCGCTCAGCGGCTGAGGTCTCTGGCTGCCGAGCCTGAAGTTGGGAGTTTGATTCCCCCGCTGGGTCTCCTTGACCGGGCCTGGACCCCGATGGTCTGGAGCAGGGGGTTCCCATCCTTGACTCACCCAAATGTTCTTGGACTGCAAGCCCCAGAATTCCTGGCCAGCACAGCTCGTAGTGAAGGCTCCTGGGAGTTTCAGTCCAAGAACATCTGGGGACCCAAGGTTGGGAACTACTGATCGATAGGTTTCTTTTCAGTTCAGCCATTCTAAGATGATGGTGATTTCTTAGCCGATTCCGTGAGCCTGGTGATTCCACCCCACGTATGAAGTCTCTACGAAGAAGGTGGCGGATGACATTCACACCATAACTGGCTTTCTGCAGAATGGCACAACTGAGGGGCAGCGAAAAATTGAGCGCCGGTGAAATGAGCAAAGTTTCCCCAAGAAGTGTATAATACCGTCCGTCTTTCCACTCCTGTCCCTTCTATATTGGAGCCCGCTCCCTCCCTGTTTCGGTACATCCTTCCTTGTGACTTCAAAAAACCCCAATTCATCATTTTGGGAGTTCCATCTGCCACACCCCCCACCAGCAGATCCCAAAATGTGGCTTGCCTGGAGAAAAGGTCCTGTGGCTTCACAGCCTAGAAAAAACTGGGGGAGGGGGGTTGCGCTTCTTGGCCTTGAATAGGCCTAGTTTTGCCGTAGCTTCCTGTTCGAAAAGGAAGACCTCCCTGCAACTTCCTTTTCAGCAGGAAGTGAGGACTGAGAAAGGCTTCGCCCTCTGAAGTTTGCCAGCTAGGCCACATTTCCAGGTGAGCCAAATCTGGAGGAACTCCCAGAACATGGGCTTTCTAGGCAAAAATTATCCAAATGGTGCACCCCTATTTGCCACCGGTGAGACTTAAAAAATCAGAAAGGGCTCGATCTTTGAACAAACTAATTTGGGACCCCACCTAAATTCTGCCATTTTATTTTGGGCAAGTGTACTTTGATCAGTTTAGGTAAATTAGATGTTCTGCCCCACACAAAAAAGAAAAATCATATATGTATACATATACAGTGGTGCCTCGCTTGACGAGGATAATCTGTTCCAGAAAAATCGCTATAGAACGAAATCCTCGCCAAGCAAAAATAAAAAAAACCATTAAAATGCATTGAAAACCGGTTCAATGCGTTCCAATGGGCTAAATACCTAATCGTCCAGGGAAGAGGCTCCATAGAGCGGCCATTTTCCAGTGCCTGTAAAGTGAAAAATGCCTCCTAAAAACAGCGGGGAGCCATTTTGCACAGTGGGTGGCCATTTTGAAACCTGATGATCAGCTGTTTTCAGATCGTCGTAATGCGAAGAATTGGTTCCCGAAGCAGGGAACCAATTGTTGTAAAGCGATTTTTGGCCATTGAAACATCATTTTGCGATTGCAAACGCAATCGCAAAAACTTCACCGTCAAGCGCATTCATCGTTTAACGAGGTAATCATTAAGCGAGGCACCACTGTATGTGTGTATCCATGTGTATCCACTGTCTATAATATTTTAGACTGTGGATAAGTGAATCAGTGAATACTGACCCCATGGGCATGGGGGTCCTCCTGTACAGCATTGGGAGGAATTGTATTTGTTAGCTTTGCAACCCAAGAGACTAGTCCTCATTGTATCTTGCCTGTGTTCGGCGCAGGGCTCAAATCCCCAGGCAGGTTTCTCGGGCTGTGGCCCAGGAGCCCATGTTCAATGAAGACAGGGCTGTAATGTAACTTCTCACACTTCCTGCAGAAAATAATTTCGCACTCTGGACACATCCCACTGTCGGAAGATGAGTTTCTCTCCAGCCGGCAACATAAAGGCTCCTGCAGAGTTTTTCTCCTAAGTGACCAAAGGGAAAGGAGGATTAAGACACAAATGGATATGTAGCACTTCCACCTATGAGAGTCCCTAATTTGGTCTGCAAGGTTTTTCTGCGGTTCTCTGCAATCGCAGCGAATTGATATCAGACCATTTAAAATCCAGGAACTCTGGATTTCACGCCACAGGAAGCTGCTGGTTAGAACCAACTTCTGTTTTGCACTGCTCTGGGGAAATCTGGCTTCTTGCTTCCCTTCAGCCATGGCTCCCATCGAATGACCCCCTAAATGCAAATAGATATCACACTTTTGTATCCACAGGATCAGGATCTGCGGTTTCACTTATCTGTGGTCTGAAAATATTAAAAACTATTAAAAGAAAAAACTAGAAACCCATATTTCCATCGTGTATTTATTAGAAATGGCCAGTAGAGGGTGCCAGAGACCATGCGATCTTTTCCTGTTGTTGAAGTTGTAACCCGTAACCACACACCCAGGATTCTTAACACCAATGAAAGGTTTGAATGTTTTGTGATTTCTGCATTCTCCGTTTTATTTCTTCCCCATATGTCCAAAGAAGTGGGCGTGATCCACGAAAGCTCACATTAAAATCTAACAGTTAGTCTGTAAGGTGCTGCCTGGTTTTGTTTTATTTTATTTTGTTTCTTCCTGTTTAACCCGACAGGTTTTAAACAAATCCAGTGCTTAGGGCTGGAGGTTAATTACACACACAAAAAAGGTCATTTGTAAACCCCACATAGCGACGTAGAAATTTGAAGGATTTTCCTCTTCTACTGAGAGGGTTCACCTCAAATGGCTGATTCTCTTCCCAAGGGCTAACTCGTCATCTTGCTTTGGGCCTACCTCACACGGTTGTTTTAAGAATTAAAAATTAAGAATTTCCTCTGGTGGGTTGAAGGCTGTTCTGCTCGCTTAATTCTTAAAACAACCCTGTGAAGTGTGTGCAGACAGACAGACAGATGATAGATAGATAGATAGATAGACAGACAGACAGATAGATAAAGAATCAAAATACATCTTTCAGTGACAGACAGATAGACAGACAGACAGACAAAGAATCAAAATACATCTTTCAGGTCTCCAAAGCACAGGTGAGCATTTTGGCTAGTTTCCAGGAAAGCGGCTTGGACCCTCTCACCTCTCTCCGAGCCTCCCCGAGAGAAGGGGGAAAGACAGCAGACCCCAAAGCCAGCTCTCCCTCCTCCCGCCCTGCTCCATCATCTTTGGGACGGGAGAAGTACAGGCCGAGGGGCGAGAGCCCGAGGTCTCGGCATCCGGCAGGGGCTCTTTCTCCTCCTCTTCCAGCTCCTCCGATTCTCGCCCTTCCTCTTTCTCTCCGTCTTGAGACATGGGGAGCAGTGGATCGCCTGAACCGAATCAAAGAGAGACAAAGTGGGAAGAGTGAAAGGGTCGTCCATGGCCGGGTTTCTGGTGATGTCCGGCCACAAGCCAAAGTGGGGGAGGGAGGGGAAGGTTCATTTTGAGCCATAAAGTGCAGAAGGGAGACAAGAATTCTCGAATGGGACTGTCATGAGGAGGGCCCTTCTCTGAAACTGGGGGAAACAGCCATACCAAGGCCCATTTTATCTTAAAGAGAACTTTTAAGTCTCTGCTCAGGAGACCTACAAGCGTTTTGAGGAACCCCCTTTTGCCTGATGTTCCCGGGAACTGACCGGCTGATGGGTCCAAACGCCCTCCTTCCGTCGGCTTGGTTGAGGCAACCTGACTTTGGCGATTGTGATGTCACATGGATTTCTTGCAGGCCGGTTCTGCCAAGGAGAACCGGGGGTGTGTGCTTAGTGGCTTAAGAATCAGGGATCCCAGGGAAGAGGGCGTGAACTCTTATCACCCATTACCACCCCAGCTCGTTTCCAGGGCCGAAACTGACTGCACCCATGCCATTTGCATCTTCATTTCTGCAATCCAGAGCTGTTGGCTTTACAAAACACCTGCTCCTTGCGTATTTTATACTGACAACAACAAGAAGTCGAATTGCGTAACTCGCTGCAATGAATGGCCAATAATTAAGAGCTAAGCGGTAGCCAGTGAGGAGCAGTGAATCGAATGATGAACCAGGACTCACGAGTCCTGTTTTCGAATTCCTGCATGGCTGTGGAAATTTATGCGGAGGGGGGCACTGATAAAAACACTCCTTCAATATCCGGCATCGCTACTGGGCTCGCTGTATGTCTGAAGAAACATCACAAGCCAAGCACCAGCCTCATGGGCAAAGGCTTTGCCCCAGGAATCTTAGCCGACTTCCATTTTAGTTAGAGTTGACTGCACTGAGTTACTTGGGGTAAGTAAGGAGCCAGTCATATGTCAAAGCAATTCAAACGAAATCAGTTTCTCAAGCAAGATACAAACAACTGCACTTGGGCCACCCAGTAAAATACCGCACAACCTCCTCATCCACAGGATCATAATCTGCTGATTCGTTTATCCACCGTCTGGAAATATTTAAAACATCCAAAGAAAAACCCTAGAAATATATATTTCTAATGATATAGTTAGCAGAACTGGCCACTAGAGGGATCCAGGGACCAAGCTTTGTATAGCATTTGCTAAAGAAATATATTTTTATAGCGTCATTACCAGGACGGACCACTAGAGGGCTCCAGAGACTAAGCACTGTTTAGCATTCGCTGTCTAAATAACATTCGCTCTATCCGCATTTTTCAGCATCCGCAGGGGTCTTGGAACCGATCCCCCATGGATACAGGGTCCTACTGTACTTGGTTTCCAACTGAAAAATATGGTTCTGCATTGGAGGGAAAATTCACACTTGCAAGTGTGTCATGTAGTCACCTTTTAAAAAAATGATTTAAAACATGCCAAGCCTGATTCAAATATGTCCCCCCCCCCCGTGTAACCGCGCTCTAACACCTGTCTAAAAGACGAAGAGGATTCTGGCCCTTCTCTGCCATTTTATTTGGGAGCCGAGCGCCTTTTCCAGGATGTTCAGGGGACCCCCACACACACACCTTCCTCTCCTCCCCCCGGGCANGTGTAACCGCGCTCTAACACCTGTCTAAAAGACGAAGAGGATTCTGGCCCTTCTCTGCCATTTTATTTGGGAGCCGAGCGCCTTTTCCAGGATGTTCAGGGGACCCCCACACACACACCTTCCTCTCCTCCCCCCGGGCAGCCCGTCCTTCTTCTGCAGCCTTAAGTGGCGATGGGGGCTTCAAAGGGGCGAAGAAGCCCCCCCACCCAAGGGACGCTACTTTGGGGGTTCCTTCCTTTTCTAAGGCTATCTGGGCTGGAAGCTTCAGGGCTGAGGGGGGGTGGGAACAGGGGGCCCTGGGTGGGTGGGGGGTGACGGGCCCCTCTGGCTTTACTTGCCCTCTGGCTCACTGAGGGTCTTGTTTTCTCCCACAGGTTGCAGCGTTGCCTGGAGGCGCCTCCTCCTCCCTTTGGTTCTCCTGCCCCGATCCCTCCTGCCCCTCTCCTTCCTCCCCCTGCCCCTCCGGCCCCGGCCTGTTCT